GCGCCAGGCCTTCCTGTCCTTCACTGCCTCCCTGAGTTTGCTCAGTTTCATGCTCATTACACCTTAATAATGGATTATAAAGAGAAGCAGGAAGGATCTCATTAATAGTGCTTCAGAACCTTGGTATACTCTTGCCATGCTAGGTAAAATGTGCAGCTGTAATCATATGGTCAGCCGGTGATACTTTTACCAAAACAGGTTGCAAAGCAAAGGTAGTATCTTACACTCCCATCACTGCATGGCTTTAGATCTTTCCAGAAAGTCTGCATCTGAGTCAAGTCCACTTTGTTGAGAGGAATGGAAACTTCCCCAATTGGATCATTACGACTAAACCGATCATAATCCAAGACCTGTAGATACAGCACCCGCTGAACCACTTTCTCATATGGGAAACCTGTCAAAAGCAAAGGAGCAGATGAAAAAAAGTGGGGGCGGGGGAGAGAGAAATGAAATACAGTCAGCCAGAGTAACAAGAATTTGAAATGTGAACCTGGCTTCAGCTGAAGACAGTCATTCCCTTGTACACGGTAGTTTTTTCCATGGTAATGTACTTTTAGAATGTTAATCCATGAATAGCCCAACTCATATGAGGATAGTGGAGACTATACTAACAGATAATCTTGTAGCCTTGAATAAGTTTTTTCGTCTTCAATATTTTTTTCCTGTGCCTTCAAGTCAGTCTTGACTCCTGGCGACTGCCTGGACTAGACCCTGCAATTTTCTTGGCAAGATTTTTGGAAGTCGTTTGCCCTTGCTTTCTTTCTAGGGCTGAGAGAGAGTGACTGGCCCAAGGTCACCCAGCTGGCTTTGTGCCTAAGGCAGGACTAGAACTCCCAGTCTCCTGGTTTCTAGCCTGGTGCCTTAACCACTACATCAGACTGGCTCTTGTCTTCTAGATTAATGAGTAGTAATAACGTTTTATCAATCCAACTTGATGCTTCAGGGAACTGGCTAGAGAAAAAACTGGTCCCCAACCATAATTTGCACCTAGATTACTAGTGAAAGATTTTGTTCTTTCTATGAAAAGGTAAGACACTGTCTGTTTCCCTGGAGATTGGTACTAAATGTAATGGAATAAGGGCATGATCTGACTTGGCAGGAAGCAAGACAATTAGATAAAGTAAAGGCGACATAAGGTATATATGTAGCACAAACTGACCAGATGAAATAGGTGGACCATGGTATGACTTGATGCTGAATGTGATAGATTAATGATTTAGAGCAGTATTCCTCAGCCTGACATTCTTCAGTACATTGGACTTCAATTCCCGTAATCCTCAAATGCCACTAAATACATAACAATTGCATCCTTATGCCCTCAGTACATGCACATTTCCATATTTAAAATATCAAAAATACTTGTTTTCAGCTTTTAGTGGGGGTGGTCAGTAGCAATGCCTTCTTGATATGATATTAAAAAACTGTTGTCATAGACCTCCATGTCAATACTGTATTCTTTATAGCTATTGTGGCACAAGTATGATGTCCCTATTATGTTGGGAGACTGAGAAGACTCTCATGTGGAATCATCCCATTGTTTTTTGCATTGTTCCAAACTCAGTTCTGGAGCTTTGTGCTCCCTCAACTTCATCTGTGTTTGGCAGCTGAGATAATTAATTTCTAGTTCAACAATCATGTGTTTGAAATATTAAAAAAGCAGTCTTTCTGTTTACATCAATGAACTCTGAACAACTTGTGGACAGTCTATTTTTCCACAGGTGGAAACTCTTACCTTATCTTGCCTCCTGGTCTCTGGGCTTCAGCTAACATGCAATTCTATTCATAGGCCCTTAAAAGGAATGGTAGCTGGATCGTTTCCCAAGCCTTCTTTCACAACAACTGCTCAGATTTTTTTTCTCCATTCAACTAGTCAAATACACATTATCTTGATGATTCTACTTTAAAATACTGATGGAATTCATTTGAGCTATACAGTATTCTGATTACTTGCAAATCCTTGGAAATATACCCAAGTGACAGTGAGATTATTGTATGCACAAAGATGGAAAGATTCAGCATTACCAATAATGGAGGAATGGCTGGTGAAGATAATGGAATTTGCTGAGATGGCTAAATTGACTTCTTTGATCAAGGAAAAGACAATATCTACTTTTATTGCTGACTGGAAACCCCCTATGGACTTTTTGTGTG